CGTTTGTTCTTCATTTCTCATCTGTAATACGTGCCAATCCTTTTTCATTGGATTTCACACGGTGGTCGCTCATCGTTGAAGAACACCTACCATCAATTTCCCCACGAGCAAGCCAAGGACTGTTTGTATCGAACTCCAAGCTGCGTTTTCGTTCGAATCGAACTTCGGATTAACCCATCACTGTATTCAGATTCATATCCATCTGGGTTTTCGCAGGTAACGATTCTCTGTTCGTCATCTTCCATTTTATCCATCGTGGTAATCTATGTGTTTATCGTGTAATCTCCGATTTCCATTTTGTTTCATCTTTACCTGGATGAAATTGTTATCCTATTGCATTTGTTATCCGATTCGTCTGTTTAATGTGAAATTTATACAATAAGACCTTTTGTTTTTGTGATTTTGTTTGTGTTAGCAATCATGATTTCTAAGTAGTTTTTATTTTCCGGTGGATTTTCCTAGTTTCTTTGGTGAATCTACTGTTTCATTTATGTTCTGAACTAAACCTCTTTCAGTTTTCATTTCAGCTTCAGCAATGCAGGCATGAAAGAAAAGAATTCCGCTACCGCCTCTACACTTGGTCGGATCTTAGCTACTTGTTCTAAACAGGTTCGTTCGACAGCTCCAATGAATTGTGTTTTGCATTGCGTCTTTTAGATTCTGAGAAATGTTAGCACAAACCCTTTCATCCTTGTGATTTGATGATCCAATCCTTGTGATTGACTAGAAGTGCACTTGACACAGGCCAAAGACTACGGGAGCTGTGTTGCATCGAAAGTTCATGAGGTTGAAAAAGATATATGCTTGAAAGAGTTTCTTGCACTGAAGAATTGTATGCAACATACGGTATGATGAAATCTATTGCCAGAGGGTTTTCTTGATCATTTTATCTCCATAAGTTTAGACTAACCTGTTTTCTTTTTCTTATAGATCCGGGGAAAGGCTTGAACTTTTATTATATTCTCCTTTTTGTTATCACCACTACCTGAAGTTTTGACATGTACGCTTTTTTTTCCATTATCATTTTAAAAAAATCCCTTGTGAATACTTTGGGACATCTATTTCATACTACAGTCTGGTTCCTTTATGAAATTTTGGAAATCTGAAAAGTTATGACTATGTCGAGCAGGCCTTCAAGTTCACAGCCAAGTCTCGGCTCTGGTGGGTTATCACATGTGTATATACAAAATCCATCCCTACGTTGCAATATTCCTGAATCCACGGGGTTGTTCTATGATGATGCCAACAGATTGCTAATTTGTACCACATCTAGTCAGGTATTTCTTTTGTTTATTTTCCTTTGAAATGGTTTATTTGATGATCTATATCCTTGGATGATTCCCCTTTTTTTTGTGTAGGTCTTTTCATGGCAAACAACCCCCTTTAATCCAGAGGAACCTCCTTTAGTTGATTCTATAAGTGAAGGGCCTATCCTATCTATCAGATTCTCTCTTGATAAAAATGTGATAGCTGTCCAAAGATCTGACTGTGAAGTACAGTTTTTTAATCGAGAAAGTAGGCAGATACTTAGCCACAAATGCAAGGCAGGATCAGAGAGCATTCTTGGATTCTTTTGGAGTGACTCTCCATTATGTGATCTTGCAATTGTTAAGACCAGGTAAGCTCGCTTTACGTTCTGTGTATTTTGACTACATAGAACTGTTTCCATTTCTGAGATTTTTAGCAACTTTAGCAGGTGAATTTTAAAGATTAATTGGCTGTAGTTAGGAGCTCTAAATAACTTGCTTAACGGGAGTCTATTGGCTTGTAAACATGTATTTTAGAATGGTTATATCCTTGGACTTGGAAGTTCTAAGGCAACTAGCAGTTTCAGAATCTAGTAATTGGCACATTCTTTTCTGTTTTCAGATTTATACGTTTAACATATCACTTATCACTTGTCTTTCTCTTATCTTTTCTCCGCTCTAATGAAAATATTTTTTTTGTCTCAGTGGTATGGACTTGTTTGCTTGGGATTCTATGTTGAATACACTACGTTTGGTGGAAGCCAAGAAAGTGAATGTGAATTGGTACATCTATACACATGAAACTCGACTGGTTCTTCTTGCATCAGGGTTGCAATGCAAGACATTTAATGGATTTCAGGTAAATGCTGAGAAAAACGAAAAACCGATGAATTTTGCTATGCGAAAGAGCTTTACCAACTTCGTTCACCTATAGTTTCCATCCAGTTGATTTGATGTTATTGGTCCTTGAGTTATATATGCTAGAATTGTTATACAGCTTTTATGATTGAGTTAACATTTATATAACTTATTGAATGCTTTGTCAAACAAGTGTGGTTGGAGCTTTAGATAAGGGCCTGATATTTATTTGATCCACTTTTCCAGCTTTCCACTGCAGGAATTGTTCGTTTACCGAGGTTTGAGATGACCATGGCTAAATCTGAACCAAATAGTAAACCTAT